CAATTATGTAATTTTTAAATTCAGATTTATTTTTTATTTTTTTTGTTTGCCCCATTTGAAAAATTTTGACAATTTTTATATGACAAATTAAAAAATGCAAATTTTTTTTTTTTCATTTTTGATAATAATTTTTTATTTGGTCAAAAAAATTCATTTTTTGTTATTTCCCTTTTTTTTTAAAAAAAAATTGGTCTTCTTTCTAAATTTTTTCATACAATTTAAATTTTCATATTTAATAACAAAAATAAATTTAAATTATATATATAATTATTTAATTTAAAAATTTAAAAAAAAAAATAATTTTTTCAAATTTTTAAAATTTATTAAAAAATTTTAAATTTAAAAAATAAAAAATAAAAAAAAAAATCAAAAATTTTTTTTTTATTTTTCTTTTAAAATTTATTTACAAAAATAAAAAAAATAAAAAAAAATTATGTTACAATGATAAAATTTAATTTTTTTATTAAACTTTTTTATATAAAATATATATATAATAATTTTTTTATCTTGAAAAAAAACAAATTTTCATTTATATAACATTTTTTATGATTTTCTTTGGTTTTTTTTTCAAATATGAAATTATTTTGAATTTTTTAATCTAAAGTTGAAAAAAAGAAAATTTTTTCATTTTATTTTACATATGGATTTTTAGAATTTAATTGTACATTGAATTTTTTTGAATTTTTTTTTTGATTTAATTTAAAATACATTATTTAAGTTTTTTATTTTTAATTTTTTTTTGAAAAAACAAATCTAAAAAAATTGCAAGTCATTTATTCAAAAAAAAGTAAATTTTTTGATAAAATTTATTTGAAATTTTCATTTTTGTAATTATATTAATTTTTGATTATAATTTTTTTTTCAAAAAAATTGTTTCATTTTTTATTAATAATTTGTCCTACAATTCCTTTAAATGATTTAACTTATATTTATAATTTATCATGTTTTGTTTCATTTATCATTCTGATCAAAATTGATAGTCATTTAAATTTTTTTTTTGTTAAAAAAATTTTGAAATTTTTTTTTATTTTAATATATGTTAAATAACATTAAAAAATTTGTTCTTCTGTTGAAATTTTTTTTTTAATTGCAAAAATTTTGCTTTTTTAAAAAAATTCTAGGATAAAGTTTTATTGGTAGAAATTTAAATTTTTTTGAAAAAAAAAAAAAAATTTTTGTATTTTTAAAAAATATTTTATTTTTCTAAAAAATATGAATTATAAAATGGGAAAACAAATAATCACCTTGCAAAATTCTAAATTTATGAGTTTTTACCAAAATTGCAAGTTATGGTTAGAATATTGGAATGAAATAAGCATAGATTTCATTATTTCTAAAATTATTTTTTTTATTTAATTTATTTGCATTTTATATATATATAATATAAATAAAGAAATTTGATATGATTTTTGATTTATATCAATTTCCATAAATTCAAATTATAAAAAATTTTTTTAACAAAGTGGGAAAAATTTTTTTGTGTATTATTTTTATTTCATTTTTTTTATTATTTTTCATCCTGATTAAATTTTTATATTGTTTTTTTTCAAAAAAATATTTAAAATGTAAAAAAGAAAATCATTATTTTTTTAAATGAAATAAAAATTTATTTTAAATTTTTTCATAAAATTTTTTTAAAAAAAATTCCTTATTGAATCATTTTTTTTTTTTAAATTTTTTTAAAGGAAAATTGTTTTTATATAAAATTTATACCTTAAAAATAATGTAATTCAAAATTTTTTTTGAAATGATGAATAAAAATAAAAATGTAATAAATTTTTAAAAAGGACTATTTATAAATTTTATTACTAAAATTAATTGATTATAACATTTTTTTTTCTGTTTTTAAAAAAAAAACTTTTGGTCATTTTTTCAAAAAAAAATTTTTTTTTTTCCAAATTAATTAATAATTCCAATTAATATATAAAATAATTTTTGTAAATAAAAAAAAAAAAAAAAAAGTTTTTTTGACAATCAAAATATTTTTAAAAATTTTTTCATTGTTTTATTTTAAAAAATGTAATGATTATATTTTAATTTATTTGTAAACTAAAAATTTTGAAATATAAATCAAATAAATATATATAAATATATGTAAAAAATATAATGGCATATAAAACATAAATTAATAAGATCAATAGTGAGTATAAAAAATTCCTTTCATTTAAAGTTGAAAATTTATTCAAAAAAATGTAAAATATAAAAACAAACATTTAATATCTTCATTTTTTTAATTTCTATGTTTTTTCATATTATGATTTATTTTAAAAAAAATTCAAATATTTTTTTTTTTTTTTTAAAAAATTTTTTTTTAAAATTAACAAAAAAAAATTTTTTATTACAAATTGTTTTTTTATTTATTTTTTTTTTTTTTGAATTTAAAAGAAAAGAAAAATAAAATATATAAAAAACATATTTGAAAAATTTAAAAAGACAAAATAGAAAAGAAAAAAATAAATTGAAAAAAAAATTTAAGTTTTAATAAACATTGTTAAAATGAAATAAAAATTTTTTTCATAAAATAATTATTTTTTTTTTTATAATCAAAAATTTCTTTATTTTGAAAAAATGGAAAAATTTTTTTTAATTTTTTTATGGATCCCCATAATTTTTTGGATTTTTTCTATAAAAATCATAAACAAAAAATTTAAAAGTAAAAAATGATATTTTTTTTGAAAATATTCAAATATTTTTTCCTCAAAAAACAAACTTAATAAAATATTTATAAAATTTGATTTTTTTAAAATTTTTTCATTGAATTATTTTTTTTTTGATTTTGCTTTAAAACAAATTTAAATATATCCATTGTCAAAATAACATGGAAATTTTTTTCAAGAAAAATGTAAAAAGTTGATTTTAAAATTTTAAAAATTAAAAATTTTTGGTTTATGTATTTTTTAAATTTTTAAAAATTTATTTCTGTATATTCAATATTTAAATATATATATATATATATATATATATATATATATATATATATATTATATATATATATATACAATGGGATGGGTAAATTGTTGTCGCCATTTTTTTTTTTTAATTTTGCATGCATTGTTTTTTTTTTTTTTTTTTTTGTCAACTGCACAGTATAGTAGGGTCAGTTGGGCACCATCTGTGAGAAAAAAAAGCACCATGATGCAATTCACTCTGCCAGAAATTTGGAAACAGCATGCTGTACTGCTTGGCATTTGCATGCCGGAAGCTCCAATACAAACATTTCAGAGTGTTTGGGTGTCAATCTGAGGACAGTGCAGAGGATTTGGAAAGAGTTGGATGAGTCTAATGGTGATTACAAAGGTGTTTGGAGATCTGATCATTCTGATAAGAAAAGAATGCCTCCAATTTGTTGGTGAGGGGCCTCAGACTCAACACAGAGGCCTACATCAAGTGCCTTGAGGAGGTAGTGCTGCCCTGGGTCAAGAGGGTGGCTGCTGGAAGACCCTATGTCTGGCAACAGGACTCTGCACCATGCCACACAAGCAGGAGAACCCAGTCATGGCTGTCAGACAATTTCTGCAACCACATCACCCCTTACATCTGGCCACCTAACTCCCCAGACTGCAACCCCTTGATTATTATGTGTGGGGGTGCAGTTGAGCAAGAGACCAACAAAACTCCTTGTAACACCAAAAAAATGAACTGAAGGCAAAGGATTATGGCAGCATTCACCAACTTAAACAAGGAGACCGTCCAGAAGAGTTGCAGGAGATTCCAAAATTGTCTGGAGGCCATGGTTGAAGCCAATGGCAATTTTATTGAATAAATTTACTCTTTAGTATTTCAAGATATTTCTGTGTAATTTTGGTAAATATATCTGTTAAAATGAGATGTCAGTGTTTTTTCATTTTTGTATAACTTAGATGACAATTTATCCATCGCACCATATATCATACACACATACACATATACAGGTCAATTCACCCCCAAAAGTCAAAAACAACAAACATATATACATTACTGAGATTGAAAGAACATGAAAAAAATTAGAAATTAAAGGAACTGAGAATTTAATTAAATTTTGTACAAGAAATAAACATCTTCTGTTCAAAAGACCAGGAAGGAATGTTTTTTTGCAATTTTGTATAAATTCCATGTATCTATAGTCTTAATGAACAAAAATAAGGAAGGAAAATAAATATATAAATAGTAAATAAAATTTTGCAATTCCGATGGAGATGTTAGAAGTATAGAGTTGAAGTAGACTTTAGAAGGAACTGGAAACCTAATCTTAAAAGTAAAGAAAGGTTAAAGATTGACTCTTGTTCAAAAGACTTGGGAGCAGGTGTGAATTTGATAATAGGCGAAGATATCAGCTCTTTATATTTTAACATTATTTTGATTAATAATAATTTAATCATTTATAATCAAATCTATTTAATTTTAATAAAAGATCAGGAATTAAGAAACAGAAAATAACGAATTGTATTGCATTTAAATTTTTGAAGATCAAAGTTGACTGGAAAGCAAGAAACTGGAAGAATGTTTCACAAGTGTGAAGTACAAGAGAAAAAACTCTTAGCATAGAACTTATGGTTACATCTAGTAATTTCAACTGTAAAGTGATGAGACCTAGCTGCCAATCTAGTACAGTTTTTAAATTCATGAAGTCAAGGTAGCAAATTGTCATAACAATTACCATGAAAATATGAAGCTATATCATGGAAGTGTGAAAACTGTGCAACTTGAGATCTTAGCCAAAAAGTTAAGAATGGATTTTTCTTAAAACCTTTACCACTCTGTAGGAGACTATTTTCACCAAGCAAAATATTATCCTGCCAATGCAAGTTGAATTTAAATTTCTTGGTTGTGTAGTCATATCCTTCTATAGCAACACCAAAAACAATCTTGACTATAATTTCAAATATATAGAACTAATATATAAAACACTATATTTTGAGAAGGATTCATATACAGTAAAAGGGGAAGTAATATTTATAAGTGATGCAGAGTGCTAAATGTTAAAGTGGATGAGTTTGGAAGTTGTCGATGAAAGAGAGAACTTACATCAAACTGCTGTGAGAATCCTATATCACTGTCAGCATGTAGGAGTTCCACATGAGCGATGAAATCAGATACTGGTATGGAAGGAAAGTCAGCTTCCTCTGCAGAAATAGAATTAAAAAAAAAAAGAAAAGTGATTCATTCACATCAATTTTAAGGGAAAAAAAAAAATAACAAAATCATATTACAATCAACAAGATCAAAGATCAGTTGACAAATATTTTATATGTTATATAAATAGATAAAATATAAACTCGCAATATCAAGTCATTTTTAGAGCAATTTTCCTATTTAGATATATCAACGTGATTACTTGATATTTTTTAAGCCTAGAAATATTAATTAGAAAAAATATTTAGAAAAAAAAAAGCAAAAGACCTACAGATGCCAATAATTCCTAGCTCTGTTTAAGCCAATTCGAATAATCGTCACAATAAAATGCCTGTAAACTTCATTTGACAAAAGTGAAGACCTACTTTAGAGCAAAATTTTAATTATCTTGTGATAAATTAAAAACAAAAAAAACAAAAAACATTTGACTTTAATAATGTTGTCTTTTCCTCAGACGGTGAAGTTCATTTTTAAAGACATTTGATAAAGAATATTTGCATTTCTGTTTAAATAGAAATTTATACCCTCCAACCTCTTTTATCCAGTAACATCCATGGTCCAGTACTTTTTGAATCAGCTGCCATTAGTTGGTTGAGTGGCTTTGAGGACAGCATCAACTTTCCACAGCAGCTAACAGAAGTTGCATAATACAGTCTTGCTCTTTTCTTATATATAGCTGCATATTTGCCCATTAAAAATAGTAAGTATTAATTATTTTTTGGTTTTACCATTTTTTTTTTACTCTTTGTATTACATGAAACAATAAAAACCATTTTTGGAATCAGTAATGATTGTTTTATTACCTGTTTTAAGCTTTATTAGACCTTTGATAACAGAAATCTGTAAAATGAGCTGACAAGATTATGTTTACATACGTTTTTTTTTTTTTTAGCGGTGATTTCTGTTACATTTTCTGTGGTCCAAAAGTGGAAAGGCAATGGTCCCAAAAGAATCACATTAAAGAGATTGGACTGTACTCAAAATTTTAATCTGTATCTGGTAAATTTCTATAACTTACTTCAGGAATAGAATTAGATATATAATTTGTCAATTTATGATGGCTTCCCTAACAATATTTCAAACTTACGATCATAATTTACATTAAAATTGTTGGTTTCTTTAATGGTATATCAACTCCTTATGAATCATTTAATGCTGAAATTTAATTTTCTTGGAAGCATTAGTGATTTCTTTTACAAAAATGTATTGCTGGTAACCCCACCACCTTACAATAATGTACGGTAATTTTTTTTTTACTATGAAAATGTATTGCTGGCACCTTCACTATATTCTACACTCTCATAGTGTTTAGATCTCAGTTTAGAGTTAACTATTTGCCCTAACAGGTACTACCACCATGAGTCAGGGTAGGCCTGGGTTCAACAGCAATTAAGAGGTAGTTCCACACACCTTAAAACCTCCTGATGAGAGGCCTTGCTGCTGGATGTAGTTTATCATCATACACAGGACAAATAAAATCACTGAATAATTCACTGAATACCAAAAGTCTCATTAAATGTCTTTAATTTTAGTAAATTGTTTTTTGACACAGAAATAAGTAATTATTAAAATATAATTATATATAATTTTATAATATAATTAAATATACAGGGTGTTTCATAATTGCTGAAACAAGGGAGAGCTTGAAGAGTGTAAGGATCTTGATGAGGAGGAACAGAATTCTGGCAGGATGGTTTATTTTTACCTCACACTGCTAATGTCACCATGGCATGGCTTCATGAAAAGTTTGGGGAGCATCTCATCTGCTGCAAATCTGAACCACATAAGATTTCTTTTTCTGTAGCTTCCTCAAGGACAACATCTAACAGGGCAACCCTTGCTGTATTGAAGGCAGCCATCACTGAGAAGATTCAAGAGATCACCCAGGAGGAATGTGTGCGCATTATCAAACAACTTTGCATTTAACAGTACCTTCAACTGAACGACGGACATCTGGAACATGTAGTCTAGGGCTCCTCTTGACATTTTTGGTTCATATTTGATATTAAATAGTTGCAAATCCTAAATTATTATCATTTTATCATTCAAAAAATGTAATTTCTATTACTCTATCATTTGTAGTCCTTGATTTGTGCCTGATCATTTTGTTTCAAAAATTGTGAAACACCATGTAATATAATTACATAATATAAAATTAAAATGAAATTATTCATTGATTTTCTTCAAGTTTTATATTCTGTGAAATTTTTTTTCTTTTTTTCAATTTTTATTTTCCAATTCATATAACAATTATTTTAATTTCAAGTTTATCTTAACATTATGAATGAAAATATTCAAGAAGTAAAACTTTAGTCCCTATACATAAACCAGGCATGGGCAACCTTTGATGAGCAGTGGGCCACATAATTCATGGCTCATCCACACAACTAAAAAGATTTAAGCTAATTTTTTGTTGTAGATACCTCAGTTATTTTTACTAAAGAAGACCATATATGTAAGCATCTAACTTAAAAATTGGGGAATTTAAAAAAATCTTTTTTGAGAAAAGATTTTTCTAAAATTAAAAAATTGAAGTTTTTGTATATTATCACCAATGACAGTATGACTAACACATGTTACTGTATGTGATTTATTTCTAATTTAATCATTTGAAAATAAAAAAAGTATATTTCTTCTCCAAAAGCAAAAAAATGCTTACACATATGATCTTATTAGTAAAAAATCTCCAATGGTTTCAAATGATAAAAGTGTTGCTTTTGGTGAAAGTAACGTTTCAGATTCATTTCAAGAAACATTGAAGTTAATTATTGTTTATGTATGTGATTACGTATGAGAGAGTGTGTGAGTGAACAAGTGAGAAGGAAGCAAAATTTTAAGACATTATATTCCTCATGAAATTACATGAACCATTCTCAAAGAACAAACAGGCCGCATGGCTGATGTAAAGAATACATTTGAATGTGCTTTCAGCCTACAATTTCATTATTGATCTCTAACCCTATTATACAGGGTATGGCAGAAATACCTCCCACATATACCCTGCTAGTGGCAATGGTGTCTTCATCTAGTTAATGTCTTATATGGGACGTATTTCTGCCATACCCTGTATGCCAGAGCCTGTCTTTTTATAACAAAAAGGAATAAAGGCAAATATATCTTGCTTTTCAAATCCAGAATATAAATTAGTTGTGTGCATATTTCTCAACTGTACATACCATATGTTTCTGGCACAGGAATAACTGTGGGTGGGGATGATTGAGAATGGCTGGGTACAGCCAGGTAGTTATAAGCTGCTTGGTAATACTGACGACATGTCAGGGATCTAGGAGAGAAAAAAAACACATGTTAAGAATGAATTTTCAAACAAATTTAAAAATAGGGGTTTTAAAGACAATATAAAATTAATTCTTATAGCAATAATCTTGAATCTGCAAATTAGAATTAACATAACTTAACCAGGATGCACAAATGTTGAAAGATCTTGCAGGAAAACAATTGTATATACTTTTGACTCTCTTAGCAATATTTATTTACCAGATTATAAAAAATATGTGAATTTACAGTATTTATTATTTACTGTTTATAAAGACTTATTATTTACCATTTTGTCAAAAAATAAATTTTAAATAAAATTTTATTTAAAAATTTATAAAAATGTCTGAACAAGAAAATTTAAATAGACACATAACGATAAGTGACTTTAATTAGAAATTTTGAAAAGAAGAAAATTTTATTTTCCAAGCATGTTTTCCATTTTCTCTCACTACACATAAATTCACTGAGGATCTCATCTTTTCCTCTGATAAATTTTGATACCTTTTGCAACAATTTTTAATGAATTTATCAAAATACGTTTGAGGAAAATGTGCTCACAAAATATTTTAGTGAATTTATATGGGTGAGGGTAAATGAAAGTAGTAGTGAAAACAATACACTCGGTAATTAACACCAGACATGGTACTCAACATTTAATTTTTACAGGTTTTGTCTTGGTGGCATTATCACCTTGCTTGGGGGTGGCACCTCTTACTCTGTAACCCTCTAACTCAAGTGGCTCCTGGGCCTTGTACAGGGGGGAAACATCATTGTAAAAAAAAAAAAAAAAAAAAGTCCCCACCTGTGCTGATTTTATTAAAACATTTCATAATACTGCACCCAGTTGGTTGTGATTCATTTGCCTGGTATATCTTTATCTGACTGGATGTGATAATGGGTAGATTGGACTTTGTATTGCTGTGCCCCAGTGACACTTTGTAGGTGTCAATAATTATAATAATAGTGAGTAAATAATATTTTGGAGTTGGGCCAGCTAGATTGATTTGCTTTTTATGGCTTATCAACCTTTTGCAGGTTATTTAAAGCCAGAAAATTTTTATTAGATTGTTACAACTTTTTGGAGATAATGATTTACTGATACAAGTCATGTTAATAAACCCATAGCTGAGAGGGGAGAATGGGTGCATTCATACATTTCCCAAGTGTATGTACACATAAGTGAATATAATGAACCTAACTGAAATTTGAACTCAGCTCTCTGATTCCCAATTCCTAGCTGTTATCCATTACACCACCCACACATATATGCTTACAGTGGTCACCAATGTAGGTACTTACCAGGCATCACTTTGGTGATCATATGAGAACTAGTGTTTCAATATGGTATGGTTATAAGCCTTGTCTAGTTAGAACTGACTGCCAGAGGTGACTTCTATCTTAACTACAGTAGGAAACGGTAGATAAAATTAACCTATGAGTAGCCTCAACTTCTGAACGATTTTATTACTTTTTTTGTTTTTAAAGAGCACCTTACATGTCATGAAAAGCCACAGTATTTTTCTTAAGGAAACTAATTATTTGGAAAAGAATATTTTTCTGAATATTGTCTTTTTGTAGAGATACTGTATGATTTGTAACATAAAATTCAGAGTATACAATTAGAGAGATATAAAACAGCAAAATGACCTCTTTGAAAGAAATTAGTAAAGTTCAAAAATCACTTTTTGATGTAGCATTGCTTACAAGATAATTTAAATATGAAAACACAGTACTAAAATGCTTTACAAACAAGGACTTTGCTTGATGTGTGTGTGTGTGTGTGTGTGTGTGTATACACTACAGTACAAAAGTTTGAAGCCACCCACCCAGAATCAGCATGGGATGAACTTGACAGAAGAGTGAAAAAAAAAAAAAAAAGATCTTAGAGTCATTGAAAAAAGAATGGAATCAATTATCAAACTTATACTTTGAGAAACTTTTGCAATGAATGCCAAAAATTTGTGCTGCAGTAATCAAGACTAAAGGAGGATTTTTTGACAAGAGCAAAATTTAATCATAAAATGCTATCTTTCTTTGTCATAATAACATTTCTAATAAAAAATCATGTCCCACTTTTTGTAACCAATTATAATAATTTTCTCTTATTTAAAGTACAAAACAACTACTTTTGGGACCAATTAAAAAATTACCAGGTGTGACCTCAAACTTTTGAACAGTAGTGTATACATAAAATAATTTTTATTGCAAGAGACTTGCCGGAAACTGATGGTCACCAAGACAACAATGATGATAATGACGAGAGGGACCACCGTGCTAGTTATGGCAACAGCGGCTGTTACACCGTTACTTTCATCATCACCATCAACGATCTTGCGAGAATCTGAAAGAGATGCACAATTTCTTAATTTGAAACAATCTATAAAATAAATTCAATAATAACATTTTAAAAAAAAAAAAAAAAAAAAAAGGGATTTTTTTGGGTATTTAAACACAAGAAAAAACAAATTCATTGTGTGACTCTAAAAATGCTGTACAAAACTATTGACAATACTTGTGACAATTTCCTTTCTAATAAAAAATCAGTTTTCTTTACTACAAATATTTTTATCAAATTCTTTTACCATCTCAGAAAAATATGGCTAAATATTTCAAAACAATATTGAAAAAGAAAGATGGACAATATCATAGTTATAATAAATAACATGAACTGAGTATATATATATATATATATATATATATATATATATATATATATATATATATAGTTAGTCATTTGTATTTGTGTATTTAGGCAGCAAATTCTCTTTTAGGCATGTTTGACTGAATAAATTGCAAACATTATGTCTGCTTATTTTTATCATAATCCTTTCATATTCACAAATATTTTTCTGTATATTACAATTGAATAAGGTAAGAAATGCACTATAACAGTGATAATCACTTATTTCCCCAAGTACTTTCCATCTCTTTCTGAGATCATCGGGGTGCAATATATTTGTGAATATGAAAGGATTATGATAAAAATAAGCAGACATATTATTTGTAATTTATTCAATCAGATATATATAACTTCAAACCTTATTTTTAGTGGATGCCTGTATTTGAGTAGACACTGTTTATTTTAAACAATATTTACCACCCGATGCATTCAAGAGAACTGAATAAAGAAAATGTGCCCTTCAGGTGGAATAAAACCTCTATCTCCCTTTTCAAGATGAACCACCACATGATCCACCATGACTTTACCTGTCATGAAAACCTTCACAATAAAGCAAGGTTTCTATTTTACCTTTGTGAAGCTCTTCATAGCCAAGCGGTAAATTTATTGTCTAACGTTATATTTTAAAATGACCAATAATGGTCATTTAAGGCTAAATCAAGCAGTAAAAGCAGACCAGATCAGACAATGGTTCCTCCTGAAATAGAGGATGCAGGTTGAAATCCTGCCAGAGGATACTTTTTTTTTTTTTAAAGTTTTCTGGTAGACAAAATTCTGTTTAAAATAAAATGGGACAGCTACTACTCAAATACAGTTCTCCCCTAAAAGTAATGTTTGAAGTAAAAAAAATGTTGGATTAAAAAATAAATTCCATTAATTCTTTAGAAATGGCTTTCTATCTATATAAAATTTATTTTATGAACAACATCTCTAATTTCTGTTTATTGATGATTAAAAGGTTCTTTGCTTACATATATATTTACCTGCCAATAAGATAGATGGCTTACAAAAATATCCAAACCCTAAAGCTGATATATTAATATATTGGAAGAAGCATGTGTGTATAAAAATTCAGATAAAAATATATTTATTAGCCTCCAAGCAGCATCAACATTGCAAGGTGATTTGTTTAAACTATTTTATTTTATAAATATATTTTTTTTAAAGTGCACCTTACAGATCAAAAGCAATAAATATTTAACAGTAATTAAAGAAACTTTCTAATTCTAATGAAATATTTTTCTAAATATTGCCTTTTTGTAGAGATACTATAAGAGTTATAAGCTTTTCTTTATCAATGCATCTTTTTCTCTGATAGACTTTGTCAAAGAAAATGTAAGGAACTTGAGATCCCATCAGAATGTGTGTGTGTGTGTGCACGCATACACATGTACAGGGTGATTGAAAAGTAACTTCCCATTTTAAAATACTTATAATTTATTCATTAAGTATACTTTTTACGAGAAATGGATATGTGAGAAAAGCGTTTAGCATGAGGTTTTATTTAAAATTCAATATGGGGACCAGATTTCACTACCAGCTTCTTGAGTCACCCAGGAATCATGTCAACTGATTTCACCAGGAAATTTTGTGGTATGGAAGACATAATTTCTTGTATTCACCCTTCAAGTTCTTACAAAGTCTTTGTTTGGTAGACTTGCTCCTTTAATCGATCCCAAAGGAAAAAGACACAGGTGTTAAGTCAGGACTCCTGGCTGGTCACTCATACATAAAATAGGGACTTACTTTTCAATCACCCAGTGTGTGTGTATATATATATATATATATATATATATGACAATTGGAAAAAATCTTTGATTTTGCCGACGCATTTTGTCTTCCGACTTTTGCAAGGCAAAAATGAAAATGTTTTTGTTGTTATAGTTACATTAAAAAAATCCAAATTTAAAAAGATGGACGCTTGTGTCTAAGCCTTTTATTTTTTTTTTCTGGTTAATGTAAATTACCTTTATAGTAAGGGATTTTAAAAAATTTTTTTTTCTCCATGTTGACAATATAGTTAAATTCCCAGATCAATTCTGTGGATAAGACAGATTGGTATAAAATGACAATTAGAAAAAATCTTAGATTTTGCCGACACGTTTTGTCTTCCAACTTTTTCAAAAAAAAAAAAAAATAATCTCTTACTATAAAGATAATTTACATTAACCAGAAAAAAAGGCTTAGACAAAAGTGTCTATCCTTTTAAATTTGGATTTTTGATGTAACTATAACAAAAACATTTCGATTTCATTTTTGCCTTGAAAACGTCGGAAGACGAAACGCATCGGCAAAATCTAAGACTTTTTTTCAATTGTCATTTTATACTAATCTGTCTTGTCCACAGGACTGATCTGGAAATTTAACTCATATATATATATATATATATATATATATGAAATTTTAAATCTTGCCAGTAAATATATACTCTAAACTGCTGTTAGAAAGACAGTGAATTTAAATGGTCATTTTAATAAGAAATAAACAAAATTTATTGTTAATCTAAAACAATCAAGAAAACAGATGATCATGAAAAAGCTCAGATAGAATTGAAATTTCATTTAAATTCAATTCAGAATAAATAAAAAAAAATTACAAAGTAAGGCAAAGTAAAATATCTCAATGTAAGAAAAAGACATGAAAAGTCGAATCATTATCACATAACAAAATGCATCTTTTGTAATACTTTTCATAGAAACTTTGATATATTACAAAAGGAAAAAATAATTTTTACTATGACTCAACAGAGTCCTATATTTTCATTTACCAAAACTCTATAGTCTTTTTTTTAGATAACTTTCAAATTTCCGAATAAGTTGTTTTGTGTTATTGGTAAATTTGCCAAAATTCATATTGACTTTATTTTATATTATTTTTTTTCTCTGAGCACTTTTGAATGTTGCTACATCTGTTTTCAAGGATTGTTGTCTGTAGTTAGACAACTGGTTTTTAACTCCAGTTCTCATTCTCTTGAGATGATGTCATATAAACAGTCAAACTGTACATTTTTGTGCGTGTTTCTTTATTTTCTTTATTATTATTTTTATTAAACACACTTCAATATATGGCCCCCTTTGGAGACAGACACCTTATTTAATATTACCCGTTTCTCTTTTATTACAATAACAGCCAACATTAAATAAGGTGTCTTTCTCAATATGGCATTGTATACTAAAGCTTGTTAAAAAAAAAAAAAAGAAGCCACACACCCCTACATAAAAATTTCAGTTTGACCATTTATTTGAGGTCACTTTGAGTGAATTGAAATTGGTTTCATCAAAAGTGAGAATGCCATAATTAAAAATCAATTGTGTAACTTCATACAGAACAATCCTTGAAAAATATATGTACAACATTCAAAAGTACTCCAGGAGAAAAAAATAATATAAAATAAAATTTAATATGAATTTTGGCAAATTTACTGATGACACAAAACAACTTCTTTGGAAATTTGAAAGATTTAATAAAAAAATTGATAGAACTTGTTCATATTATTTAACAAAACATGTTTGAGAGAATTCTTGCTGCTGAAATGCACATTTACATATACACAAAAATCCTATAAATGAAAAGATCTTGCTGTGAGAGAAGCCCTTTATATAAAACATCTAGCTCCCAGTATTAATCTAACCTTATTTAACAATGGAAAAAATGTGCTAAAATTTTTTTTTTTTAACAGAAGAATACCAAATATGTATTAAATGTAATCCTCGGGCCTGACAGTTGTGTTTTAGCATGGAACAGACTGTCACCTCTGGGTGCTGACTTCAGTGCCTACTTTTATATTTATATATGCTCTATCGATGATATTGAGCACCTTTTTGACTTGAAGCAATTGTCTAGTTAAAGTGTTACCTAAGTTACTTACAAATAAAATCTTCCAATTTTAATATCCAATCTCAATTTAAGGCCCGATGCTCAGATTATATAAAATCATAAGTCTGTAGCCTGACAGAATTGTCTGAATTCTGATCTTAAATCTTTATTTAATACCAAAATTATATAAAATTGAGTTAAGTGTTAGAGAAATTATGTGGAGAAAAGATATTTGTTGCTTCTATTTTTTTTATCAGTAGGCTACCAATTTATTGATGTATCTGTATGTGTGTGCAAAATGCTTTATTTTACATTAATATTTATGGTCAGTGTTAATTACATATTTAAATGTCATTAAACATTATATAACTTACACAAGTTAAATGAAAAAGGTGCTTTTTTTTGTTAAAAGAAATGAAAATAAAAAAGAAAACTCTTTAAACTTTTTTTTTTTAATTCATCTGAAAATGATCCTAAACTGTCAAGTCCATAGAAAAATCTGGTGTTTCAAAACAAATTTTTATGCAAAATAATGTTTACAAATATTTTTATCTTGTTGTTTTACTAAAACTAAGAACTAGAAAACAAGGATAAAAAATTGAAAATATTTAAAATCTGCTTTGATAAGTATCAGACATAGGCTATATTTAATAAAATAATTTTTATTTCTTTTTTTGATAAAAAAAAAATAGATTGAGGAAATTAGATGCAGATTTAGACAAAAAGAGAATTTAAGAAAAAGAGATGGACATCAAGTAGGAAGGAAAAAAAATACACACACTGCAACATTAAGAAAAGAAACAAAACTTTATGAAATTCCACAGTATGAAAGACAAGACATAAAATCATTAGCAACCAAAAACTCAAGAAAGAAGAAATTGATGCAGAATTAAGAAGAAAGAAAAATGCACATGACGTTCAGTAATGAATTATTGATATTTATTGGAAACCAGAAGCAAATCTGGACTCCAAAGGTCCAGAGAGAGAGAGAAACACGTTTTGATTATATGTTTAAATCTAGTATGAATGGTTAAAAAGTTATATTCTAAAGAAAAGTGTCAATGGAAACAACGGATTTATATATTGATGTTCTGCTTAGGGAAAGGTTAGGTAAATCAAAGTATAGCAATATATAATCAACTATTTTTGAGTCAGTTTAAAATGAGCTTCACTTTGAGTAATCCTTAAGAATAAACTACTTCATAGCATGCATTAGTGTCAGTTTTATAACATTAAGCTTCTCAAAGTTAGAGAAGATGAAGTAAGAAGCAATAATTTAGTGATAACTAGAAAAAATAGAGAACCAATTTTGAATCAAAGTTAGATATTAAATATAACATCTTCTATCATGTATTGTTGGCCGTGTTCATAATGTTCTTAATTTTAATTATTATTTGACTTAATTTTTTTTCAAAATATTTGATAATTTATTTTTATTTATTCAAAAATTTCAGTCAAATCCTCTTGCCATCTTCAGACATCCGTTGACAGACACAAGATCTTCCAGCAGCCATTGTCTTTGACCAGGTCAGCACTACCTCTTCAAGGCACTTGATGTAGGCCTCTATGTTGAGTATTTTGGGGCCTTCACCAACAAATTTAAGAGTTCTTTTCTTATCACAACAATCAGAGTGAGATTTTTGAGCTGCTGTACTATTATAATCACCATTACACCCATCCAACTCTTTTTGAATCTTCTGTACTGTCCTCAGATGGACACCGAAACACTCTAAAATGTTGGTATTGGAACTTCTGGCATGAATTCCGTTTCCAAATTTTTGGCAGAGTGAATTGCGTTATGATGCTCTTTTTCTCACAGATGGTGCCCAACTGACCCTACTCTATTCTGCACTTGACAAACAAACAATGCATATACTTGAAATTAAAAATATAAAATGGCAACAATTTAACCCATCACACCGTGTGTGTGTGTATATATGAATAAATTTTCACCTTGTGAGGAATGGGAATATTTTGTGTAAGAGAACAGAAAGAAGTTAAGCTAGTTTTATCTGGGTTTTTCCAATGTGTAGTATTCATCATGAGACATTGATTTCCTTGGTCTAATTTCTCTGGATATAACAAGTAAAAATATAATAAGAACCAGAAAAATGCAGACAAGGGTCTGTGCAAATTAGTGTCTAATATAGGAATAATTAATTGGATTCATTAGGAATTTTGTAAGAATGTCAAAAAAATATAAGTTTCTTATTTTTTTTTTTTTTTTTAAAGATCAAGTCCGATAAAATGAGTAACACTTTTTATTATTACAAAAATTTCCCCAGATAAAACTGCCATAATGTATTCAATCCTCACTTTTTTTTTGACATATATATATATATATATATATATATATATATATATATATATATATATATAAAAATGTGTGTGTGTGTGTGTGTGTGTCTAAATGGCATATAGAATCCAGACAAAGTTATATAAATTTTGGCAAAAACGGTTTTATTGATTTGATTACATGTTTGGATAGGACTACTCAGATCAAAATGAAAGAAAAATATGTGTACACACTTCAATATTAAATCATTAATACTTTTTTCTGCTAACCTGGTGTCCATCGATTGGGATGAAAGAACAAAATTATGCAACTTTTGTATGAAAACCGTTATTTTATGTGGTTTTCTTTTTTTTTCTCAATTTTCTTTGTTCTGACACAATTTACTTATAATATTCTCCTGACTCTTCTGCATAGAATCTCAAGAAAATCCATATGCAATCCCTCAGAACAGATTGAAAATAAAATAGGGATTTATTCTATGTACTATATTATGTGACTTTAGAAGTTAATGTTAAGGCAGTTACATCATACAGAAAATATAAAATTAGCATATGTACTGCTGATCCTGGTTTAACCAAACTCTATATCCATTTACTGTAGTCAAAAAGTGCACCTGTATTTAAAATAAACATGATTTTTATAAAACCAAAGTTTTACTTAACTTTATCTAATAATAATGCATACAATATTCATATATTAGTATCGTATTATAAAATACAAACATAACGAATATGCATCTTTTCCATTGTTTATAAGATGTTTAGCTGTTTCTCATTTGATTATTTATGGCTATAAGCATTTATGCAACAAGTATAGCTTTTTACTAATGATACTTTTATCATTCTCTTTTACCTTTTTAACTCATTTAATTAGATGATGGGATAAAGAGACAGAGGAAACAAAGTTAGTCTATTGTAATTTGGTCTCTCAAAAAAATTCACATGATAAATAAAATCACTTTTTATAAGTGAAAATTTGAGGGTTGCAAGATATGTGAGGTCGTACATTACATGAGTATATATGGTACATTGAATGACAAAGTGAAATAATTTTATATAATGTATTTCATCCTTTTTCAAAGTTTTTGAAAGACTGCATTCCATAGAATTCTCATTTTGTCATTCAATTTTTTTGATATATAGAAATTTATCTATCATATTCTTCCATACCAAATTCTATGTTTACTTTTCTAATCAGATTTTTAGATTTAGATAACTTTAAAGAATACTTTTGAGTAGTTTTGATTTCCTTGTAGATTGATATAGACCTGAGGAAGGCCAGAGAGCACAATTAACAAAACAATGTGATAACAACAAAAGAAGATGAGGATAATAGCCTGAATGTAAATAGTATAAATAATGATAACTCCTCTCATCCTAGAAATTCAGCCAGAATCTTCTGAATAAAATATACAACAAATAACTTTTGAGAAATCTTTTTTTTTTTTCTTTTTTTTTTTACAACCTCCATGTGGAGAATTTATTATAATAATGACGTATGTGTATATACAAAGTTTGCATGAAAAAT